CCTAAACCCCTAAACCCTAAAACTGGAGCTTCTCGGGCTGGCGAGGTATTTACGAGCACCCGGACACGGGCTTGAACCTCCGCGGCTTTGGCGCTGATTCTTCCTTCTGTTCTTATAGGGTTTAGAGTCCCCCTAAACCCTAAACCCTAAGCCCTAAACCCTAAACCGTTAGAGTCTAGGGTCAACCCCTGAAGCCCTACCTGCACCCCCACAAGGAGGTAAAAAACATGGCCCAACACCCATAAAATGCAATTATTCTGCATATTTTGTGGGTCCAGGTAAACCCTAAACCCTAAACCCCTAAATTTAAACCCCAAAGCCTAAACCCTAAAGCCTAGACCCTAAACCCTAAAGCACAGAACAAATGGCCACTGCACTTAACCAAAAGAACGAAACAGGCCCTCAACCGCCTTGGTGGGCTTTGTAGGGTGGCTTTGACTTAGGAGCCCAGTAGGTAAACTTTAAACTTTCTGGTGTATCAAACCCCCCACTAAAAGAAAAGTTTAAACTTTTTTGGGCCAGGGTACTGGGCTTAAAGGTTGAGGCCTGAACACTAAGCTTCTGGTCTAAAACAAAGGGGGCCTCAAAAAGTAGAATAGGGTTTTGGGGGTTCCTTTAAAGGGTTCCTTACAGGGTTCTATAAGGGCTACGATAAGGGTTTAGGGTTTAGAGGCCTTAATACGTAGAATAGGCTTTTGGGGCGTTCCTTTAAAGTGATTCTTAAAGGGCTCTATAACGGATCTATAGTAGAGTTCTATGTTAGGGGCCTTAACAGTTAGAATAGGGTTTTGGGGCCCGCTATACTATAACTATAAGAAGGAACCCCCCAAAAAGAGTATTGGTACTTATTTAGGCCCCTACATTCAGCTTCTGGGCTTTGAGGTTTTTAGCTGTGCTTCTGAGCTTACGGTAGGGGCCTTGCATGTCAAGAACTCTTTCTAATGTAGGTGCCTTATTAATTGGAATAGGGTTTGGGGGGGGTATAGTATAGTTTTACTAGAATTATAATAAGGACCCCCAAAACCCTATTCTAATTAGTAGGCCCCTACATTATGCACATTTTCTGTTCAGGGTGTGGGGTGGGGTGTGGGGGATGAGAGAGCCATGCAGCAGTAGATGAAGGGGTCTTCAGAGTCCTTTCCACCCAGAGAGCCCAATACCCCTTAATTAAGGAATGTAGCTTAAATCATAATATGAAGTCCCTTATAGTTTAAGGTATATTCCTTAATTAAGGGGTATTGGGCTCTCTGGGCAATACCATCCCAAGTAGTGACATGGTACAAACGGTTTAGGGTTTAGGGGTTTAAGGGCTGTATCACTGTCCGAAGGTGCAATGTCTTCTATAAACGAGCCACTGAAGTCATAGCTATTGAGCTCGTTTCAGTCTTTCTTTACGGCGCATTGAACACAAAGCAAACATGGCAGAGTGCATAGCATTCTGGAAAGTACCGAAGACTGAGTTCGAAATTGTTTTACGGTTTAGGGTCTAGTAGTTGTATGCTGGACTTACATGGGTTATATGACAACCTGATGTTCTAGTCCTTGGCAAGAATGAGTTTTGTTACCCCAGATAGAGCATATTTTTATTTTATACCTTCTATATGGGGAGCAGAATACATCTATGCATTTCAGTAAAGGGCCTGTATATGTCCCTAGTTGTTCGCCCACCCCCCCCCCACCCCGAGAACTTCGATCAGTGCACTTGATACGAGCCGCGCTGGTGAAATGATCAGTAGTTATGAAGTCTGAAGAAGCTTAAATCCCAAACCGAGCCCTAAACCCAAAATGAGCACACAGCCGACGTGGCCGAATGTAGCCTTACAAAGCCACAGACAACCAGCCTACAATCTTACAAGCCCTATAAAATCACTGCTCGCACCCTTGCATTCCTATCAACTCTTACAAACCTCCTATCCAGACCCGGTTAAACGGAAATAAAACCCACAAACAAAAGCAATCAGACCCTTTTCAGCATGCCATCCCCTGAATTTGCGGCTTCCCATGCTCTCAACCGTAAGCCCTAAGCTCCCATTCTCCTGAAACGGCAAAACCCTAAGCCCCTAAACCCGTAAACCCCTAAACCTGTTCACCCTAAACCCCTAAACCCGTATGAGCCTTAAACCCTTCAAAGCCCCTGAACCCTCAATGTAGGGCTTAAATAATGACCAGTACTAGTGTAGGAATTCCCTACTATAATCATCGTATGATGGGCCCGAAACTCCATTCTGATTATTCAGGCACCTAACATCGAACCCGATTATAGATCCCTTATAGAGCTCTTTAAGAATGCCTTTAAAGTCAGGCCCTTAACATAGAACCCTATTATAGATCCCTTATAGAGCTCTTTAAGAATGCCTTCAAACGAATCTAATTATTCAGGCCCCTACATGGGAGTTTCCAAAAATTAGGGGTACCTTTTTGGGGTCCTTATAATAAGGGTCCTACTATTTAGGGTACTATATTGGGGTCCCCTATTTTCGGAAACTCCCACATGAACCCTAAAGCCTCAGCCAAGGCGGCAAGTCCCTGCCGAAGGTGAAAGAAGCCCTGGAGCTCTGCGAGTACGACACCGAGCGCTGCTGTCCTAATATAGGAGCCTAAATAATTAACTATATTTTTTTCGGGGGGGGGATCCTTATTATATATTAGGGTCCGCAATAATTAACTATGTTATTTCGGTGGGATCCTTATATATCAGGAGCCTAAATAATTAACTATACTATTTCGGGGGGGATCCTTATTATATATCAGGGGCCTAAACAATTACCTATATTTTTTTCGGTGGGATCCTCATTATATAGTTGTAGTACAACATACCCCAAAAGCCTGTTCTAATGACTAGGGGCCTCGCAGTGTTCAGGTCAGAACGCCTAACAGTATGCTATCCTCTTGCGCTAGTGATGATAGCAAGAGTAATAATCATCAGATAACAAGTATAACAGTATTCATAATAGTAATCGTAATGAAAGTAGTCAGAAAAATAACAACAACAATCGCAAGAGTAATAGCAGCATCAAAAATCACAAAACCTAGTAGTAAACCTAGCAATACTTGTAGTATACTAATAGTAACAACAACAATAATGGACATAATTAGTGCTATCACGGCTTTCATTGTGATTTTTGTTTTGTTATTTTTTGACTAGTGCTATGGAATTACTGTTACAATTAGTGATAGTGCTACTATCAACCTCACTTTGTGTATATGTATACATATATATATATGAGAGCTCATATATATATATATATATGTATTTATGTACAGAGAGAGGGAGAGAGTAATAACAGCGCTTGCAATCGTAGCGAGAATAAGGGCTGTTGGGGTGCAGGATGTGGTCTTGTAGCCTTTCAACCTAGGCTACAGGGGACGTGGTAGGGCAACTGTCATGTCACTCTTGAAGGTTTTTGAAGTTCGGGGTTTGGGTTTTGGGTTTGGGCTGCGTCTGTGGCTTTGACCCCTAAACCCTAAACCCTAAACCCTAAACCCTAAACCCTAAACCCTAAACCTCGCCTCAAGACCTTCGAAGTCTCTGCCCTAAACTCGAAAAACAGCCCTGGAGTTCGCTGGAGCCTGAATGCTCAATGGAAACGTTCAGCAGCAGACCCGAATGCCCCTAACTTAGGGAACAGATTTCAAGCAATGTTCCTAAACCCCAAATAAATCCTAAGATCCTCAAACACTAAGCCCCAAAACGGGTCTGTGTTTCTCGCTCGAAGGCGCTCTCACGAGATCCTAATTCCCTCGGTGCCCTTGGCTGGCTGGGACGTCGCCTTTGTGGCCGACCCCGCCCCTCGCAGGCCCTAGAAAGGTTGACTCTACAAGGTGGGTTTAGGGTTTTGGGGTTTAGGGTTTAGGAGTTAGTGGATTGGAGTGTGTCGTTTAGGCTTTGGGTTTAGGTCTATGCAAGATGTCACACAGACCATCCAGAAGCACGATGACTTGTGACGACCAAACTTGCGAGCCATGTAGCTCGCCAGGAAGCTGACCACATTGACCCTTGATGAAACAACTGCACATCAGGGGCTCCAGGATTGACTTTCACCGAGAACTGTGTTCTCATGATGCCTGCAAACGAGTTTGAAGCCACCATCATAAGAATCATAAGACTGATCTTATCTAACCGCCGTAAGTGTGCAGGAAGAATGTGCCGGAAGCTCCTGATCACGCTGAAAGCCGATTGCTTTGGAGGGACAAGCGAAACAGTCCGGCCCAGTTAGATGAACCAGGGGAATGATTTAAGCGGGGCATTTCTTCGTAACCCATATGCTTGCCACACGCACGGAATGCCATAACGAAACTGTCCCCCATTTTACTTGGTCAACTGGGTATCCAAGAGATGGATTGCTTTGTGATCAGTTGTCTCGGATGGATGCGGTATGGAAATGCGCGGTCTACCAAAGCTGCAAAATCCAAACCTTCTATTGAAAAGAATATGGCTTAAGGGTTGTTGACGGATTCCTGCCTTTAAGTGTTACTACAAGGTTTACAAGTTCATGTCGTGTAGTAACAGCGCCAGCATGCACGCGTAAGTTTTCCTCCTTGCAGCGCCAGCATGCACGCGTAAGTTTTCCTCCTTGCAAACGGGTAGGCTCCACTACCTGCTTATGTGTAGGTGGTGCTGTTCGGCTCTATTCCAGCGCTTCAAAGCAAGTACCATTGGACTTGTATGTTATGGCTTTCCTACCCCGAGGGCGAATCCCCAAACCCGACACCATGAACCCCTGAACACACGCCTCCAAACAATGTAGTAAGACTTTGCAAAGCCCTTCAAACCTTATGAAACTTTCACACATAATCCTTACAACACCATGCAAGGATAGCTAAAAGCCGCTAACATCCCGTTTCAAGGGACCTACCTCCTGTCTCGCCTAGAGCCTAAACCTAGACCGTAAACGCAAAGCCCTAAACCCAAAGCCCTAAACCCAAAGCCCTAAACCCTAAACCCAAAACCCTTAACCCTAAACCCTAAACCCCAAACCTAAACCCTGAACTCTAAACCCTTAACCCTAAACCCTAAACCCTAAACCTAAACCCTGAACTCTAAACCCTAAACCCTAAACCTAGACCCTGAACCCTGAACTCCGAGTCGTCTGAGCCTCATGTCGGTTCCCTTGAGCCTCGTGTTGGTGCTTAGGAGCCAGTGCTCTGAAGGGTCTTTTAGGGTTTAGGGTTTAGGGACCCTGTCATGGCTGCTCTGCCTTTCTTTGTTCTTGTGTGCGCAAACGGATTTTATTTTCGAAGATTTTCCAGGGCGATTAAGGGCCAGCTAGGAGATTGTTCATCGTCTCGAAATGAAACTTGTGCAGCCCCGGTGAGCTCTTGACATCGGCAGCTTGAAAGCGGCCCATGCCGCTTTCAACAAAAGCTTCATGGGACCCTAAAGCCTGAATCCAACTTCGAAGACAAGGGCCCTAAACCCAGAGCCCTTAACCCTACACCCTAGAAGCCCTAAGCCCTAAACCCTGTAAGCCCTAAACCCTAAACCCTACAAGCCCTAGACCCCAAACCCTCAGGAAAACCCAACTGCGCCGGCTTCCTTGGCACCAGTCTCAGCCGGCTTGAGACAATCGCCCTGGGTTTTATACATAGGGGCCGTCATGATTAGAGTAGGGTTTGGGGGTGTATTATACTATCGTCAAAATACGGAACCCCCAAAACCCTATTCTAATTATTAAGGCCCCGACATTAGGGCTTAGGGTGGAGGGTTCAGGGTTGAGGGTTTTTAGGGTTTAGGGTTTAGTAGGATCCCTAATATGGCTTCAGGTATATTCCTCAACTAATGGATTGTTGGAAGGTCTGTGGAGTCAAGGAGTAAGAATTAATAAAGGGTTTAGGGTTTAGGGTTCAGGGCTTAGGGTTTTCTTTACAACGAATACTACAGCGGTTGCTACAAGGGCTCAGCATAAGGACAGTCAGAGTTAGAACATGGATTTGCCGCATACAATGTGCTATGTAGTAGAAGTGTAATCGGAAATGTAAGGAATGGCAAGTGTTGATGCTCCCATACTATCTAGGACATTTTCAGGTGGGTACGTAGTTACCGTTATAGGAGCCTTATAGAAGGTCTATATACCTTCTGGAAGCCGCGTAGAAGCCCTGTATACCCCTAAACTCCCCACCTGTAGACCGCTCGCTATACCTTAGCACATGTTCAGGTTCCTAACATATTTTCGGGAGCCCATGGAGGGGTTCCTAGCATAGGTTCGGGTCTGGGGTTTACTTTAGGGTTTAGGGTTTACTTTATTGAGGGGTTTAGAGTTCAGGGTTTACTTTATTGAGGGGTTTAGGTTTAGGGTTTACTTTATTGAGCGGTTTAGGTTTAGGGTTTACTTTATTGAGCGGTTTAGGGTTTAGGCTTTACTTTACCGAGGGGCTTAGGGACTTAGGGTTTAGGGTTTACTTTATTGAGGGGCTTAGGGACTTAGGGTTCAGGGTTTACTTCATTGAGGGGCTTAGGGTTTAGGGTTCGCCTTGATTGAGGGGTTTTTGGAGTCTCGGCAGCCTTTGCGCCTTTTGGTGGCAGGCTTTGCTTCCGAATTTCACAACAGTGGTTCATGGATGGTTAGGGTTCAGGGTTCTAGGGTTTTAGGTTCTAGGGTTCAGGGTTTAGGGTTTAGGGTTTAGGGTTTAGGGTTCAGGGTTTAGGGTTCAGGGTTTAGGGTTCTAGGGTTCAGGGTTTAGGGTTCAGGGTTTCGGGATTGAGGTTCACGGTTTAGGGTTTAGGGTTTAGGGTTCAGGGTTTAGGGTTTAGGGTTCAGGGTTTAGGGTTCAGGGTTTAGGTTTTAGGGTTCAGGGTTTAGGGTTTAGTGAGGGTTCAGGGTTCAGGGGGGTGTGGGGTCATAAGTAGGATAACTATCTAGCTACTATAGCTATAACTTATAGAACCCATGCCGAAGGATTTCTCTATGAACCTCCGAGTAATAAAAATGGGGGACCCTAAAATAGTACCCCCCAACAGTAGGATCCTTATTACAAGGACCCCAAATTACGGTACCCCTTCTCAACCCTAAACCCTAAACCCTGAGCCCTAAACCCTAACCCTAAACCATAGACTCTAAACCCTAAACCCTAAACCCTAAGCCCTAAACCCTTCTCTTCGGAATCTCCCAGGTGTTGCTGGAAGCCAACCTTTCCTGCAACTTCTTCCGGGGAACTGTGGACTGGAAGGATCGTGGCCTCCTTAACCCTGAGCCCTGCATTGAAGGGGTCCTTTAAATCCCTAAGGGTCCATGTACCCAAATAGTATATACATTCGCCCCAAAGTACCTATATAGGGACTACATTAAGGCCAATGTATATACTATTTGGGTACATGGACCCTTAGGGTAAAGGGGCTTCTTTAAGGGTTTACGTTTAGTGTTTAGGGTACAGGCTTTAGGAGGTTTACGGCTTAGCAGGTTTAGGGTTTGGGGGGTTCAGGATTCTGTAGCGTTTTATCCTGACCGTTTCGTCTCTGTATCCAGGTTGGGGTCTGTAAAGTCTATAACCATGAGCTACTTACGCTGGTCTACCGGAGTCTTAGCGGGTTGTCGGCAGCGTGTCATTAGTGTTCTGAAAGGGTTTTGCAGGGATTTTGCAAGGGTGCTACGGGGTTTCACTGGGCTTTGTAGGGTGCTAGTTACAGGCATTTTGTGGTTTGGGCTTTAGCGGGGCCGCGCAAAGCGCGCTTTCATTTGGCACTCCTCAAACCCCAAACTCCAAGCCCTAAGCCCTATATATGAGCCCGAAATCCGATAGACGAACCTGGACCCTGAAGAACCTACCTTTTCAGGGCTCTTTATTATGACTTCTTTCTATAAGTCCTTAAGAAAGGTAGGCGATTCGGGGGTTAAGGAAGAGGCTCCCCAATGGGTTGTGTTTTGGTGCTTAGGATTTCAAGGTTTGGATTATGAGTTTACGCCAGACGGGCTGATTTTCTTTGGAGGACTGTTGCGAAGGTTTGCGTCAGAATTAAATCCCGTAACCCCCGAACGTGTGTTCTACAGTTATCCAAAAACCTCAATTAATATAATGTATGAATGTGGGTTATATGTTATATGTATGTATGTGTATATAATATAATATATATATATATATATATGTATATATATATATATGTACACGGTCTTTGCGCGACTCCGTAAGTAAGATTTGTGGGTTAGAGGCTTCGCATTTCTTAGCCCTATGATTCTGCGTCTTAGCGGCAGTGTCTTGGAACAGGACACCTCGCAGTCGATATCGACTCTAGGGATCAGGGCTTAATGGCTTTAGTTCTCTGTTGTCTGAGCTGGAAGACTTAGGCCCTAAACCCTAAACCCTGAACCCTAAATGCTAAACCCTAAACCCTGAAGCCTAAACTCTAAAACCTAAACCCTAAACCCTAAACCCTATTCAGAAGATCCGGACTTCATCCCTGAAACCTGCACCTGCTATCGCAAGACGTCGCCTTGACTGCAACTCGACATGCGGCCGTTTCAGCGCCATACCGAACCACTTAGGGGCTGAGTAGGTAACCTTTAACCTTTTGGGGCTAATATAATCCTACTATAACTCAAAAGGTTAACCTTTTTTGGGCGAAGGTACTCAGCCCCTAAGACCATGCGTGCCCTCATGGGCAGTGTAGGCCTAGTATCCTGGATTGCTCTCGTGGCTACCTCCTCCGGATCTGCAGATTTCTGTGGCGAGTCTGGCGAGTCTTCCTTGCTGCAGCTCTCGCCAAAGCAGGCATGCACACCGATCGCATACCTGAAAACACACAAGACTGGAAGCTCGACTATGCAGAGCATCCTGCTGCGCTTGGCCGTTCGACGTCGCATGGAGATCTTTTGGCCTGAGTGCTCCGGTGATTTCAACTATCCCAGTCACTTCCCCGGTCCCATGGCCGAGAAAGTTCCAGCGAATCACCAGTTCGACATGATCTTGCACCACGCTGTCTTGAACGTCTCAGCTTTTCGATCCTACCTGAAACCCTCTGCCTTCTTTGTGACGGTGCTCCGCGAGCCTGTGAGCCAGATGACTAGCGTTTTCAACTGGTACCGGCCACACTACAACTGGGCCTCGGTGGATGAGTTCCTGGGCTCTTGCTTTGCTCTAAAGTAGAGTAGACAAAGAAAAGCTAATCAAGTAGATACTGGCAATTGTAGCAAAAGTCAACATCGGACAGCATGTTACTTTATGTCCATGTGGTATCTCAGAGTATGTTTCTGAGCAAGAATTCAGGTTCATCGACTATCTCGCAACGACTCCTGAGGAGCAGCAGAGACCCCGGCACATAGGTCGCCACTTGGGGATAGCCCGTAACTTCCAGGCCCGCGACTTGGGGTTCTACGAATCTGGGGGCCGGGCCAACTCCACTGACTCAGAGGTGGCTTCCTGGATCAACTCCCTGTCTGATGTGTTTTCCTATCCGTCGAAGGGGCTCGTGGTGCTCAAGGAGCGCTACGATGAGGGCTTGATCTTATTGCAGCAGGCACTCCAAGTAGACCTTGAAGACGTGTCCTACATGGCCATGCGTGTGCAAGATGCAAGCAGCGCCAAGTACGAAGAGCCCACAGCTCGTCAGTCCAGGCGCATTCGGGACCTGGCCAACATCGACGTCCAAGTGTATGATCACTTCAGGCAAACTTTCGAGGCACTTTGGGAGGACAGAAGGGGCTCCGCCAAGCTAGACGATAGCATCGAAGCGCTGCGGCAGGTCAATGATAATCTTACGGCGACCTGCAGAGAAAGCACGGGCTCCCAGTGCGAGCTTTTCGTCGAAGACCTCCCAGACCTCAGAAACACAGTGAGGCAGAAGCTGGGATTGGAATCATGTGCGCGACCAGGCAAGGTTCATGCTCAGGACCCCGATTACATGCTGCCGACGCTTTGAGGTGACCCTGCGAAGCTCCTGCCTTGCAACCAGGAGCCCGGCGGTCTTTGTAAACCCATCCCTAAGGGTCCAAAGGACCCAATAATCAGGTACTTTGGTTGTGGATACTAGTTATCTAGGTTAATAGTTGGGAGAGCATAGGATTATTAGGTACTTGGACCCTTAGGCTATTGGTCGGAATACTCATGGGGCACCGTATCCCCTGATGGTTTCCGATTGCAACTATAGCCCTAAGGGTCCATGTACCCAAATAGTATAGACTGTGGCCTTAACGTAGTCCCTATATAGGTACTTTGGGGCCAATGTATATACTATTTGGGTACATGGACCCTTAGGGTAGTATAACCAACCCGGCCCCAAGACCTGATTCTAACTATTGAAGCTCCGACACTGTCATGGACTAGGGTTTAGGGTTTAGGGGTTTAGGGTTTAGGGATTTAGGGTTTAGGGTTTAGGGATTTAGGGTTTTAGGGATTTAGGGATTTAGGGATTTAGGGTTCAAGGTTTAGGGTTTAAGGTTTAAGGTTTAGGGGTTAAGGTTTAGGGTTTAGGGATTTAGGGTTTAGGGTTTAAGGTTTAGGGTTTAGGGGTTTAGGGTTTAGGGGTTTAGTGTGTAGGGTCGAACCCTGAGCCCTATATGCTTGCTTCCCCTTCCCGTCTCCTGGAGCTAGTTTAGGGGTTTGAATAGTTCCGACAAGTAAAATTACACCATACGACATATATTTCAGTGATTCAGGCTGACTAAGGCACCGGAAGCAGTTTCATTTTGCATGATGGCTGGTGAAAGATTTACCGTTGATGGGTTTTCTGACGCTTCTTCGGGCCTCTCGGAGGCCTACAATTTTAAGACACCTATGCTCCATCAGCTGCCTGAGGGGTCCTACGTGCCGACGATTTAGGAACTCTTTCTAGGGCTAATGCAAGTATCCCCCATAGAGGTACGTAGGATCATTTGGCTATGGATCCAGTTTAAGACTGCGGTCCCGCCAGAGATTTGTATCTCGCGTCTCGCGCGCCCCGGCAAAAGGTGAGTCTCCCTCCTCCAACAAGGTTTCAGTGATCATGGTAGGATTTAGGTCTCAGGGTGTAGGGCCAAGGTCTGGACAGCGGGATGAACGACGGCACGTTCTCTTCCTAGTAACAATAGGCTAGATGCTTACCAAGATTGCTTTGATTACTGTTGCCATGTTCGCGGTTGTTGTAAATGTTCTTATTCCGACTACTTTTATTATTATTATTAGTAGTAGTGGTAGTAGTAGCAGTGGTAGTAGTAGCAGTAGTAGTAGTAGTAGTAGTAGTAGTAGTAGTAGTAGTGGTAGTAGTAGTAGTAGTAATATGGCCGTCGTTCCCGGTGTTGTAGTTTGTAGGGCTATTACTGTTCACTGCTGTGGTTGCAAGCATTGTTCTTCTTGACCAAACCCTCAACCCTAAGCCCAAACTTGACCCTAAACCCTGCCGCAAGCCTCGGGCTTCCCACGCTCCCCATCATCAACCACGACAGGATCACCATCCTAGCACCAAGAACAGTTGCCCACAACGAAACACCAAGACTTGTGCAGTCTAAACCCTAACCCTAAACCCTAAACCCTAAACCCTAAACCCTAAAGGCCCTACATCCCGAAGCCTCCAAACACTCGCAAACCCGAGGAAGCTCCAATCCGGGAGAGAGTGCGGTTGCGGGGAGCGTTCTTTGTAAAGCCCTCTTAAGAATCCCTTCAAGGACTAAACCCTGAACCCTAAACCTCAAAGTAGAGGGCTTTCACAGGGGGCTCGCAGCGACCCCGGTAGTTCGATTTTGGTGACCTGAAATCATTGTTCGAACTTTTTGGTTCCGAGTTTTTTTCGTCCGAGTTCTCTGGCTGATTGATTTTTTTGGGGGCCTTAAACCCTCAAACCTTAGGGTTCAGGGTTTAGGGTTTAGGGTTTAGGGGTTTAGGGTTTCTGGTTTCGGCATTTTGGAGTTTAGGGCTTGCGCTTCTCGACAGAAAGAACATCCCGGGAAACGCAGCGCCCCTGAAAAGTGATGCTTGGCAGCCTGCCCCGTGTGCCAGGAGTATGGTGAGCTCTTGGACGAGCACTTCGCGGCTCTGGATGCCCATTTCTTCGGCTGAGAAGAGGGCGGCAGGTCAAACACGACTGCCTCACGGGGCTTGAGGTGCTTCTAAGACAGGGGCCGGGCCTTATAATTATAATAATCGTAGTCAGAAAATATTAATCATCATAGTATGTCTTGAGTCTTGAGGTATACCATAGTATAGACGTGATAAGGAACCCTGAGTAGTAGTAGTAGTAGTAGTAGTGGTAGTAGTAGTAGTAGTAGTCGTCGTCGTCGTCGTAGTAGTAGTAGTAGTAGTAGTAACTGTTTGGGCTTCTATATGAGTCATTCCAAGCTGGGTTTCCCACTTCAAGGCAGCCATGTGGGGCTCCTTGAACGTCATACGGGGTCTTTCGCCTAATTCGGTGATTTTTTCGGGTGTAGGATTTGGGGAATACGGGTCTTACGATTTGTATTCAGGGATCCTTTTGCGAGGATCCATCTGTTTAGGGCGTTATTGTTGATGGCACCGTGTTAGGCTTTAGGGTTTAGGGTTGCTTTCTGAAGCTTCCATGTTGGGGTAACGCCTGGCTTCAGGACGTCGGGTAGCCTCGGATAAGGATGCATGGACAAGCTCCAGCCAAGTCAGGGGATTCCCCGTACCGTCCTGCGTCATTGCTTTTGAAAATGTCCTGTAGGATTCAAACCCCTACACCCTAAACCCTAAACCCTAAACCCTAAAACCCTAAACCCTAAACCCTAAACCCTAAACCCTAAACAGATAGAAAGCGCGAGGTCGGGAGTAGAAGAGCTCATCACAAGTAAGGGGCGGGCAGGTGGGCTAAGCAAACCGAGTAATGTGTCTCAGTTGGAAGCTATCCTCGAAATCCTGTGATTAGGCCTTAAACCCTAAACCCTAAACCCTGTAGACCCTAAGCCTTAACAACCCTAAGCCCTAAACCCTGAACACCCTAAAACACCTAAAACCCTAAACCCTAAACCCTAAGAGCCCTAAACCCAAAGCCCTAAACCAGCTTCAGCCCTCAAGCCCTGCCAGAGTTTCCTTTTGAAGACGTCTTGGGACGTGATGGCGTGAAGCCATCGGCACCACAGGGCTTTGCGGACAAAGCCCCACAAGTCCTAGGTTTAGGGTTCAGGGTTTAGGGTTCAGGGTCCCAAGAACTACAGTCTTTAACCCTCTTGGAGCCTTCATAGAACCCAAGCCGCCGCACAGAAGTTCTTCAACCTTTCAAAAGCTTAGAAGACACGAAGACCCTAAACCCTAAACCCTAAACCCTAAACCCTAAAACCCTAAAACCCTAAAACCCTAAAGGCCGTAAGCCCGCAGAAGTCCCTACGGAATCCCATGGCCTTCAAACAGCCCGAAAGTTCGTGAGGAAGCCTTTACAATGCCACAGAAGGCCTTACATCCTAGACCTGAACTCGAAACCCTAAAACCCTGAACCCTAAAGCCTGAACCCTAAAACCCAAAACCCTAAGCCCTAAAGCTTGAACCCTAATACCCTAAGCCCTAAACCCTGAAGCTTGAAGCCTAATACCCTAAACCCTGAACCCTAAAGCTTGAAACCCGAAAACCCTAAACCTTAACGCTTGGAACCCTGAACCCTAGACCCTCAAGCTTGGAACCCTAGAACCCCTAAGCCCTGGATAAAGCCCAGTAGAGATGCCGTTAACCCTAAACCCTAAACTCTGAACTCTAAACCCTAAACCCTAAACCCTAAACCCTAAACTCTCAACCCTAAACCCTAAACCCTAAACCCTAAACCCTAAGCCCTCGGTACAGCCCAGTGGAGGCTCAGCTCAGAGGTGCCGAGTCCTAGCTCCCCGCACAGTTCCCCCAACTCGGAGGCGAAACCATGTAATATAGGCGCCTCAATACTTTAGAGTCTAGGGTTTAGGGTTTAGGGCCTCATATGGGGGCCCTTAGGGTGTAGGGTATAATACAGGGGCCTCAATAATGAGCTTTACTATTTTTAGGGGGTTCCTTATTTTATTTCTACTACAAGGGATCCCAAAACCCTATTCTAAATATCAAGGCCCCTACAGTAAGGTTTAGGGAACAACCTCACAAAGTCAAACTTAGAATGTGTTGGGTTTAGGGCTTATGGGGCTTACAACAGCTCTTGTCGCGCTCTTACCCAGGGTTGATAAGGGATCCGGTCTTTAGGATGACCTCATTCAGGTATGGCATTTCGTTAACTTGAGAGAGACAGTCGGATGTGCTAATGTCCGATTATTCTGGATATCCAGGCCCCTACTATGGTAGAACCCTTGCAGTGCCCCTGTTTGCATCGCCTAGAGGAATCCCCTAAACCCTAAACCCTAAACCCTAAACCCTGAATCCCCTAGACCCTAAACCCTCAAGGAATCCTTAGAGGCATCCTGTTCGAATTGTTGTGGCCCGGGTGTTCTGGCCCTATTGTCGCAGATCCGAGTTGGGGATGTGAGTGCTTCCCCGTCCGCTTGGTGGCGAACAGGAATATAATTTATAACCCTAACACTAAACTCTACCTCAACCTAACAGAACCTCATTCTGTCGTAAATTACAGGCAGGAATTCTATATGACGGCCTGGAATAGGACCTTACGAAACAATAGGTTGTGGTGGTGCACGGTAAATTGTTAAGATTTAGGGCCAGGGTTTCGGGGTTCAAAGAGGGTCGTCATGTGGCCAGCGTGTGTGAACAAGCACAGCTTTCTGTTTTTTTTTGTTTGCGTAGTTGTCTAGCGGCCCATGGCAACACACTCTCTCCGTTGTACCCTAAACCCTAGCCCAACCCTCTAGTCTCTTGAACGCTAAACCCCAGTGCCTTAAAGCATGTGAGGTTTACTTGAACAATCAGGGGACAGTAGGTAGGGTGACATTGGGCTAGCTTCACATATATACTTAAGTATTGCCGTGACTAGGGTACTTACAACTGCACTTGCCACGTCATCTGATCCTT